TATGTTATATATCACATCCTATTTTTCTGTTTTATGCAGAAATTTTTCCCTTTAAAATACCGGCAGAGTTGTCAATTTGTGCGCAAATTTTACCGGCCACTTGATGAATACTTTTCTCTTCTCTCTTCTCTTTTCTTGTGGGAGTTTGATGCATTTTCCATTGTTGTTATGAGACACAAATATTCGACATTTGTGAGTTGTCAGCGTCACTTGTGAGTGAGAATAATTTTTTCTGTAATTGACTGCATTCAAATCATCACGATTAGTACTACAGTTTTATGATCAATTTATTATAATTGGAACTGAATGAAAGGAATTGATTCAAGTATGATAACGCTGTGAAACATAAGAAATTACTGATGCGTATAACACATTCTCTTCTGGATTTCGCTTTAACACGTTTTATTTTTATACAAACACGATTACTGCTGAAATAGCGAAATAACATAGAAGTTGTGCTAAATTCGTAGAGTGTTAACTGGCGGCCTGCTTGAATCATTCGGCTACCTGAATTACTATCAAACACAACGCATCATATTTTCTCAGATGCTTACTGCTTTAACCACTTAGTTATACTTTAGGGTCACAAAATGTACTCGCGCACATTTACAATTGGCTTTTAAATTGCCTGTGAGCATTTCTCGGATGCGAGAGAAACATACTAAGGAATTAGTCTGTGTTTCAGGTCCAATGGTATTGTACCACATGCCATACTATAGATTGCTATTCTACTTGAAGTTCCTGGATGAGGAGAAAATATCACGCAGAAAATTCCCCTGGGAATTTGTAAACTGTGTTCAGAATAAGGTTATCATTATTATTGCAAATGTGCATAATACACGTATCACAAATTGATATTTGACGACAGAGTTATGCAAAACTCTGAAAAGCGAAAAACTGTTGTTTAACAAGTATGTCAAACTTGAAACAAGTGTAGTGGAGAGTGACTTAGAGTAACAGAATTGTCCAAACACCCTGAAAATACACTACAATTATTCGTTTTTCATTTTTAGAAAAGGTTAGATTAGGTAAATCTCATGAGAGAAACTTAATCAAAACTTCGTTAATCAAACAGTTTGCATTTGCGCTTATCTGGTGTGTTACAGTCTTTCAGTATAGTTAATGTTTGGTGATAAGGATGGGAAAATATGTAAATGATAGGATACATACTATCGGAAAATAGACTGTTATTACGGAGTACTACTGGATCAGATAGAACACTCAGCTTCAAATCAGATCATCATATTGTAGCAGTCATTAAGTGTTGTGCTCATTTAAAGAGTAAATGCCTAAAAAGCATTTAAAGTCATCGGATTGCTTTTCCATTCATATCTTCTAAGCACAGCGAGTTAAAAGAGGAACTGATTACCAATCAGTGGTGAAAATATCCATGATATACTTCGATTTGTAAACTAGTATTCAATGTAGGGGATAAGATATAGAAAATTACATACCAGTCTTCCACATTGCAACCAAGCCTTACCCATGGTAATCATGGTAAGTTATTAATTCACTTAGCAGTTGGATCTCGTAAGTGAACTAGCACAGTGCTACACTGGTGATCAAAGGGTAACCAGTTTGAATCTTATTACTGTACAGACTACCACCTTACCTTCAGCAATTACGCGTAACGTTTTATCCAACTATTAACCAACGATTTTGTTTAAGTCTACAATAACTTATGACCAAAATTCATAATAGACAGAGGCAATAATAGTCTTCCATTTACACCGAACAAAATCTGTTCTAATTCTCAGGGATTCAAAAATTTCAGAGTTTATATTACTACCAAGGAAAAACATTTACCTTATTAAGCTATCCTTTCCAAGTTATATGCAACATTCTTATTAAACTATAACGCATCCAGATAACTTCCAAGTAAATAACATCATTAATGAAAGCCTCAAACGGAATCTAAATCCCTATTTGGTTTACAAGCAGTAACCAACTGGTTAGTTCCCATGGTGTAGTTTGATATTTATCAAAAAAGGTTGTAATGAGTTTTTACACACATGCTTGCTTTTCGTTGATCACAAGCCACTCTATATCATCTCTTGACAGTTCAATTTAATTATCGTTGAGTTTAAGTGTAAACTGTCTGATACGCTTTTATTTAACGGAGTGGACTCTGAATTGACAAAGTGAATTTTAACCTGAACTGTGAAAGTGTCAAGGTATTCCGGTGCCTACATCGAAGGTTTACTTACCAGATTACTACCATTATACACTAATAGAGTTATTTTTTGTGTGTTTAAATCGAATAATGGTATTCGAGTTTGCGCGTACATATACATATATATTGCAGTTTAAAAGGTGTTCACGGTTTGTTTTAAACCTTCATGACATGTTGGTTTGCAGTGAAAATAAAAACATGTAATGCCAGTATTAGAGAGGAATAAAAATATTTTCACTGATTTTGGTAACCAGTTTTGAAAGCTTTTAAATCTGAAAATAAATTATTAAATAAATAAATAAATAAATAAGTATATATACTGCACAGAAATGGAAATCCTTTCTCTTTTTGCCCATGTCCGTTCATCATTTTCCAAACTCTTTCCTTTTTTTCTCCTGCTTTCCTATCTCTCATGAGAATAAAAATATCGATGGTATGTATATATGTTTTTTATTTGAAGTATGCTCCAAATAAGATTAGATTAAACTAATCCATTTACTACAATAACCGAAAGAGTAAAAAATACTTTGCTAGAAAAAGGTTTCAAACAAGCAGTGTAAATTTATGCGTATTCATATGTATATATAATAATTATATAGAATATATGTATATATTTTATTTAATGTTCCATTTTAAAAATGTGTTTTGTGTAGAATTTCTTCCACATTTACGATAATCTAAGATGCATGAACGCTACATATGAGAATGTGGGCGTATGCAGAAAGACAGTTAATTGTTACTAAAAAGTGCTCGATACTTTCCTTCTATTTTTCTTTAAGACAAAACTGATGGAACCCAGATGTTGTTATTAGCACATTATTTATTAAGTAGATAGAAGAAGTAATAAAAGCACATGGTTTTACCCGAGTGTTCTAGTTTGACGTGTTAGTGCGGTTGTCATTAATTAACTTTATCATAAATGAGAATCCATATGGATCATTAGATTGATAGATTACACTTTAAACAGTCTTTTGGTAGGTTTTATTTCATCTGAGTGAATACCTGATTTAAAGTCGTGCTGTCAAGATCATCTGGCAATTAACAAAATACTTTACTGATGCTATTCATTTGTATCCTTGAAAATATTATGCTAAATGAAATATAACGAAGTAGTGGTTAGACAAAGTATGTCAAATCGATGGAAAGACACTTTGTAGATTTGAACTACTAACGACAGACTAAGGAACGTTATAGTCTTCTTCAGCGTTGTCTTAAGCAAGTCAGTAACTAACCATTCAGTGAATAATGATTAATTGGACACAGTTTTAGAAATTTGACGCATAGGCCACAGTTGACATGCTTTCAGAGAATTATCAAAAGGATGCAGCCAGAAGAGAGTTTTATTCGTTGAATGATAGATACTTCTCAGTTTAACTGATGCAACTGATTATATGGCACAAAAAACCTTTTGATATAAAAAAAGGTTTTTAATGAGGCAAATCTGTAGTAAAACCAATATTTAAGGGGAAAGTCTGTTAATCTTGAGGTTTGTTCAGTCAGCTTGTGTATGTGATATCAAATCCAACCTTAAGTTGATAGATAGATAAGTTTTCTAATGATCGTGGAAACCGTTTAACATTTTATATATGAGAAGTGTTCACTTATTTATTGGGTATTCAGTGATGGACACACGGAGTTCCTTTTCGGTATTTTTACTGTCTGCTCAGTCTTCTTCAGTGAAAGAATACAAAATGGTACATCTTATCTATAAAAAAGATGTTACCAATTGTGCTTGGGCTAGCGATATTATATATTGCTGGAAAATATAGACATTACACTGCGGACAAGCACTTTTAGTTTGAAGGAAATTGGATAGATGTGCTACTTATTCAAATCCACTCATCAGTGATGCTTGAAAAACCCAGCAAAGTACATCCACATATCAAGTTTACAATCGATTATGAGCGCAACAACCAATTCAACTTTTTCGATCTTGGTGTAAAACCGGAAAATAATTGAACCATTCAGAAAACTATTTGTGGAAATGTAACGTGAATGGGTCAAAACTTAAATTGCAGCACTTGTACTTCATCAGTTACAAATACACTTTGAGCGAAGCTTTCTTCATCAGTGTGTTGGCATGATTTTCTAAAAATGAGGTTGATAAAGAGCTGATAATTATCGATGGAATCTATTGGAGAACCGGTATCTCAGAAGGTCCATAATGAAAAATTGAGAAACATGAGGATTTAACGGCTTTCAGAGATGAAGACGAATGAATTCATTTGCACCACTGAGAATAATTTTGAGCCAATTCACTAAGCCTATCCAGCGTTTACGTCTTCTAATTTATCAGCTCCGACACACTTGTCGGCATATTTGACTGGTGAATAAGAAAAAACTCGTCTGAAATAGTCATTAATCTTCTAATTCACTTAATTGTTCGTTTACGCAATAGTTTTACTTTAACTTAGCATACGTTTTCACTCCCACTCTCTACACTAGAACTTTCCATTAGACTAATTATAAACAAATTCTGGTTGTTAGACTACTAGCCATCTTGTATTGTACCTACTGTTTGATTCCTTCCTAAGAATTACTTAACACCTCAGCTGAAGTAATTTTTGAACCATGTTATCTATTTACATTAAATAATAAATTGTCATTTTTTATGGCCATTTGTAGTTAATGATGGAAAGGCGTGAATTTAAAAAATGCGCTCTTTATCCTTCAGAGTATATTTATTCTTCCTTTATTCAAACTAATCAATGGAACCGGGTGTATGAAAGCTCAATTTTCTCATACAAAATGTCTGAATAAGTCCAGCAGTGAATGTGAATAAAAGTACACTCGAACGTTTAAGAGGATGCAAAATTAGCATACTTACTCAGTTTTTTTCGACTATAATTGATTCGTGGTGCTGAATCTAACGGAGAAAGAGGGTACGAAAAAGAAAAAAAACATATTTCAAGTGATTAAAGATGCTCATTAAAAATTTTAACAGACTTATTAATGGACAAAGAATAATATCTTCGATGACTGCATCAGTTTCTACAGTTATACGGGCATAATAATCACTGAATTATTGATATTAACAACACTAAAGATCTAGATAACATTTAATCGATAACACTGATGTATTACAGCTGGAAAGCATTTATAAATAGTAATATGCATTAAAATGTAATATTAAACTGAATATAGGGTAAAATGATACCATGGAGTCACTTATATTGGCCGTTGCTCTAGGAACTTAATTTTCCATGCTTGGGAACATCTACCAGTGTGGCTACATAAAGGTGTAGTTAAAACCATCAGTAGTTTTATGTTAGATCACTTATTATTTATAGGATACCGAATAAATCACCGAAGGCCTCTAAATACAGAATACTGCAAACAGCAGAAGCCATTACAATTCGCTTAACACAACCGGAGCTCTGTGTGCAAAAGAAACAGGTCCAGTCAGTAATACTACCTTAGTATGCTGCAAAGTAACTCTATGAATTCATAAATTCCCTTTCATTTTTCTCAGTTTACCTGATGTTCAGCTAAATATTACATTTAGATATAATAGAGAAGATTTGTAGCTCAGGTGGATGATTTTGGTGTGGTTGTGTTCTCTGAGCTGGATGGTTTGGTTGCGAAGCTTTCATTGCTCTACTGAGCAACATCTTCAGCGCATACTTCGATGTGAAGTGAGCTTTTAGAATTCTCTATGAGTTTATTAGTCATCTCTTCTAGTAACCTTGAACGTGATTGGTTGTTTTCGTGTGACATTTCATCCCCTAGTTTGCTTGTCTCGGTGCTGGCTGCTTTAATGCATATTATCACCCACAGATGCTTTCGAACTGTAATCCGTTTGCATTACTGATTCAATGTTATTTTAAACATTAATATTGGTAATGACCATAGTTTTTTTTTAATTATCATGGACGCATAACTGTGTAACCTGATAAGGAAGTTATCAAAAGGAAATATTTATTTAAGACATCAGCTGAATTACAATGAATATATATAACACGACATTTGAAGTCAAAGTAAGTACCCTGTATATCAATGAATTGTTTTTTTCGAAAGGAAGGTATTTCAAATCCACTTCTTTTAATACTTTTAAATCACTCAGTGAAGGTTTTAGCCACTTAGTGAATAAGACTCTGACCAAGTAATCAAATATATGCTGAGTGATATACCATTGATTTTTTGTTTCAAAATCTTATGATCACATGATCACTGTCCTTTAGAAGAGGTAAGTTTTTACCTTAGTGGAGTATTTGAGTAATCAGGAATCATAAGCAGTCCTGTGTTGCCTTGATTTTCTTACAGTTAACGAAAAGCTATTGAAAAATGACAGTACTCTGAAGAATTATTTTAAATGTGATTTATTCACCGGTTCATTAGTTCAGTCAATCAAACAGAGTTCATTCCACTGCAAGGTTCCAATACTCTCAGCAAGGTTGACGGAAGAAATTTATAACTTTTAGTATTACGAGAAAGTTTTATCTGTTTGTCTCCTTTGATTTCCTCGTCCACCTCATAATTATTGTTGCACTCTAAGTAACCGTCATACTTTATGATCACTTATACTATATCGATTCTTCTTGTCGCTACTTCATCGCGCATGCATTGTTCTCATTAAGCAGGTGTATTGTACACAAATCAGTCTAACTCAGCTACTACTATATTGAGACAACCATTTCAGAATAAATGAAAGCTTCTTTTACTTAAGAGAGAGAGACGGTGAGTGGAATTATTCTTTTAAGTAAATAAAAAATTAATATCACCTACCATTAACAATCACATGATAACGTATCATTTGTGATGTTCTACCCATAAGCATGCATGTATAGGTATCCGAGTCAGTTGGTCGTAGAAAATCAATAATTAAATCCCATTGCCTATGTCTCCAATTACTTCTTAATCTGTATGATTCAAAATTATGTTTTTCAAATGGTGATTTTTCCATTTGTTTAAAATTTGTGATTGCGCTTTTTGAAGATTTATTTTTTGTATAATAAAAATAAGCCTGATTAACTGGTTTTTGTTCTTCACTAATATTCAAACGAAATCTGGAGTCTTGAGTAAAACTGACTGTGGATACAAACAATGGATTCTGTCCTTTTTCCCAAATAGTCGTCTAAATTAAAAGAAAAGAAAAGGAGTTTGATAAAGTAGGATTTACTGGGCGAATTAAAATATCTATAATACTTTTTGTGGTTCATACTGAGTCATTCAAAACAGAATTATGAGTGAACTAGTGTTTGAGCACACACAATTACTATAACGTATTTAATTAGCCTAGCAACATGTTTTACACTATCAGCTGTGTTTAAGTTATTCTCGAATGAAATGAAGTTACCTGCGAACTGTAACCTTTATAAATTTTCTAGGCTTAGTTTAATAATTGTGTGTTGGTAGTGTTTTTACAGGTATCCAAAAAATCAATATCTCATTCATTTATTCATTCTAATTGCTTTCTTTTTTTGATCAAAAGAGAAGAATAATTACATTCATGAAAAGTTTCAGTCTTAAATGAAAATCAATAAAAATAATTTTGAATGAAATAACCACCTATTTAGTGTTAAGCCCTAGATTTATTAGTTGAACTTTTTGCTTAGTTTGCTATGAATACAAAATATAAGAACTTTCCACTTATATCTAAAATTATACAATCAAGTTAAAGAACTGTACAAGAATACAGTTTAACTTAGTGTGAGTTCTTCAAATTTTTATGCTATTCTTTATAGACACTTCCTATGAAAGTTTATTTTTTTTCAACCAACGCGACATTTTCATTTATTTTTTTTACCGATGAATAATTATTAAATATTTGAGATTCTAATAAAAGCTGACGCGAAAATAAGCTTTTTCATCATAAATAATCAGTAATAAAATGGCGTATCTATGGTATTTTATGCAATGCATTTGTATAACACTAATTATTTTTATCGATTTAATTAACTTGAATTCAGGGTCAATGGTCTTTTTGACTTTTAATCCATTTTATGCATATATATGCTACTACATCCTTCAGTTTGGAAGATTGTTAATACTTGATGAATAGTGACATATAATCATTGAGAAACTTTTAATTAACGTTTATGAGAACACATCATAAAGAAAAGTAACAAACAATTACATAAAACCTGTGTGTCTTTAAAAAAGTAAAATATTCTAAATGATACTTGGCGCTTGACGAAAAGCATTTCAAACAGACCCCGTTTCAGATTTTTATTAACAACTAACTTCACTGGCTCGATACTTAGGATTGGATGGCCGCTAAGAATAACCATCAGGGTGCTGTGGTAACAAACCAATCAGGAACTTATTACGCAGTCAAACATGTCAACGAAAATGGAGGTGGATCCGATACACTCTGAAGACATCACTGAGTGATATTGCACACCAGGCAGACCCTTGAGTAGAATCCGAATGAGAAACGAAAAGTTGCCCGTGGGTTGAGGGTAACATGGATGAGATTGTGTAAGGGGAAGAATATGAGAGCCCATTGGCGATCATGGAGTCATCTGTAAGGTACTGCAGAGAATATGATGAAATGAAGATGTATTGTTGGTGGCCTATGTTCCACTAATAACCCAAGGGAATAATAATTATAATAATAACAACAACATTAAGCTAAAACAATCTGCCTCACAGAATCAAATATTTTGTGAAGAAGAAAAAACTGGCAAATCGGAAAAGACTGGTTTGTTTTATTCCTTCACGTTCCTAGTGGAACATAGGGCTCCAAGCTAGAGGCTTGAAGTTTCTGTAGCAGTGTTTATTTTTACAGGATGAGGTTGCTAGCCTCATGCCCGACCTTTCCTCTTTGCCAGCATTTTAGTTCTGGCTTAGCGAGGTAAAGGAGTGCGCCGGCCGGGGATCGAACCCCGGACCATGTGCATGGTCCTAACTTCTTTTGTTGCATATTTCCTTTTCATTTGTTGTAACTGTGTTTACTTATGTGACTGCCTTTTCAAACAGCACAGATACAAAAGGCTTGGAAGATAAAAACTAGGAAAGTACCTTACTGTTTAAATTATTGGAATTAAGAATACGCCATAAAGTAATTGTAGTGAATTTTAAAGAAACATTATGCAATGCATAAAGGGTTTACTGACAGAAAAATTAATGTAATACTATTTGACTTATGATAAGATCTGTCTAAAATGGACTGAATGAGAACAGTATTCATAGATGATCGATGAATATATGTTACAATACATTAGTAAATTTCAATTCCAAGAAAGAGGTCATGAAAATGGAGATTAGTTAATCTGTTTAGCTTTTTTTACTTTTGGTATACTGGTTAAAACTTAAGTTACTTGTGTAATAGAATGTACTGAACTATGCCAGATGATAGACTAATGTGACGCAGTGCCGTCTGTATTAAGTCACAGAAAAGGATTGTAATAAAACAGCTTAATAAAACATTGACTTCGAATGAAGGAATTAAATAAATTTTATTCAATTTCGTAAGGTTATGCGAACGTTATTCAGTCTTTTAAAAACTTGAGTGGAGTGATAATTTGAATTCGGGTGTTTTGTCACTGATTAACCGATAAACGACATGATAATCACTGCCTCACATCAATGCATTTGGGCAGCTACGGACACTGAATCAGTTTGGAAAAATGCAAAAATCTAAGACAAACAGTATACCAAGAATCCCATGGAATCCCTAGATACTCAGATGAACCTTCAGTCAGCAAAGATATGGATACATACTTGTCGGACTCATGGAGCTATGCAAAGGAGGTCAAATGAAATAGAAGTCAAATATCAATTCAGTAAAATAATTTTGAAAAAAAAGATAGTCAAAAGAATATAAATGACTTCAGAGACAACCTATCACCTTGAAGGTCATCAGACAAGACAGTTATCACATTCATGGATAATTCCAAATTTCTAGAGCTGAGTATGTTTTCTAGGAGGACAACAAGAGCTTCGCAATGAAACAGTTCAGCTCAGAGAATGTAACTACACCTAATTGCAGACTATTACTATTCGTTTCTGAATGCCGTAACTGTTTGAGAAGTCGTTTTTATCCTGATGTTTACCTTTTTTGAGTACAGCTTGATTCCACACCGTATTTTTTGGTAAAGGTATAGAATTTTCAGCATGCAATATCGGTAGCCCAAATTCTGCAGGCCGACCATAGATACCAGGTGTGCGCCGACGGGTGATCGAACCCCGGACCATGTGTACGGTCGGCAAGAGTCCTAACCACTGTACAACCGACGCACATTAAAAAGCATCGACCTGGAATCGAACCTGGACCACGTTCGCAGTTGGGAGGTATTCTTCCGCTGAACCATCGATTCTCAAATAACCGCCATGCAAAGTTGTGCAAGGCGACTTGCAGGAATTTGAGGTGCAAGTTCTTAACTTTATATTTCTGAAGTGTAACGAAAATATTAAAAAGTAGCTTTGAAATTTTGACATTAGCAGCTCTGTCATCTACACATTTTAAATCATACTGATTTAATATCGTGATCTGAAAATAAGCTGTTCTGAAAAGCGTTACAAACTCTGATGAAGTGTAGAACATCTTTAAACTGGTTAATGTTGTCACATTTTGTGCGTTTTATTTTGATGCATTTTTTCAAAATATGCACAGTCAAACCATCTAAGGTCATCCTATCTCAGCAAACGTCTCCTTCAAAGTAATCTACAAAGTGGAGAACAACTTGCCAAAGATAATACGTTTCTGTCTTTTTTGCATTACTGAATCCCTAGCGATTCAGTTAGAAGAACCAGAACTACGCGTACAAAAGAAAATTATTCAACCACTTCTACTATCATAGTAACAACTCTGTTGATTTGACTTAACTTTTGATTGGATGCTTATTTTTTTACCCACTTAAGAGTCTTGCGTAATTTCGTATGTTATTTTGTTTCCATGTACACCCTGAGCATAACTCTTTCATCAAACTATTCATGTTATTACGTAAATCTTGTTTAACAATAGTTTGTCAGAACTCATCACTTTTGTTACTACCCTCTTACATCAACATCCAATTCATTTGAACTTACTAATTGTATTTTCGTTTGGCAAATTTAATGTACGCACACATACAATCTCCGAAAAGAGGCTCTTCGCTGAACTACTGGTCTTCTGCCTATTAATGTTTGAATGGGGATTTTTCATGAATTAAGGGTTAAATCACTGAATCTTTTGTAAGTAAATAATTGTTTTGAAAATCTCCCTTGAACTATGGAATTGTGATAATGATAATTATTTGGATACTTTAGTACACTTTGTATTTATGTTCCTCTTTTTTCCTAGAAAGTATATTAGTATTCAGACATTTCCATATCACCTACTGAATTAATCCTTATTATTTGTCTTTATTCTTGCTTAATCTCTAATTTGAATGCTTCTCTTGGTGGTTGTGTGGTGATAGTGATAATGTATTGTTTCATGACATTTACGACTTTGTTTTAGTGAGCCGAGGTCATTCTGATCTTGGACCATTTTGCGGGAAATGTTTAGTGCGTAATTCTTGCTGACAGAGTTTTGATCCCACCTTTTCCGACTACTCTTCTTGATTCTCAGGCAATTCATACGGTTGATAACAGTTGAATAATTCTGTTGTTTGATTTATACTCGGGAAACTACTGGATCTCTGTAGCTGCCTAACGTCCGCTGAAAGTAATTACGTATTTATCTCATAAGCTACTGTCAGAACCAGAGGGTGTGTGCGTGTGTGATGGGTGGGGGCGGGGAAAGGATTCTGGCTGCATTGTAAAACATTATACGACTCAGTATTGTAGTGTATATTCATGACGTGTTTAACGCGCAAACTGTTAATTATTTCATAAAATTGTGTGACAGACTGTTATGATTTTCACTCCCCTTCACATTTTGTCTATGTTCTTTTTAGTAAATTCTGATTAATGGTTCTTTGACGAATTGAAATTTAAAATCTCATTTCTTAAACGAAACAGTTCATTTTCATATTGAAATCTGGCACAGTTTACGTGATTATGAAAGTACCATTTCAGGATTTACCTACAAATGAACACAAGGCTACCTCAATACCAACATAATGATGTGATGGCTAGCAGTAGAATTTAAGACGCAAATTTCGTCAGAATTGGGACTCATCAGATGAACTTCCTATTTCAAATTTT